TATAGAGCTGCAGACTGTGCAATTGTGCTACTACTTTCTACTGGCTATGACTATGGCCGCAGACGGTGGATGGAGTGCGAAGGAACAGGAAAAGAGTGCGGGTCAATGCCTCACTCCTCAACCAATAGACACTGAGCGTGAACAGGTATTGGATGTCGTGACCGATGAAGTGTAGACGTGCGGAAGTCTAGGCACTGCAGTAGGAGTCTCACGATGGAAGGCGTCTCCATATCGGGATGGAGCGATGTGCACCTCGAGGGTGATCCTGCTGTCTGTCGCAGTGTTTGGTGTCAACTCGCAGTCCACCAATTCGTCTCTTGGCGAATCGAAGTTCAGACGAGACAATCTGACAGGCTTAGTCAATTACTTCAACAGATGTCCGTTCACGCAGGACGATGTGATGCCTACTCAATGCTACCGATCGTCCAATCAGCGCATCCCATAAGCGATTATTCACTATTATCCAATGGCTCTACACCACCGCGACCCCTTTTGCAGCTGTGGTCGGTCAGTCGAGGCTCCACTTATCCATTGCCACAACTACCGGCCTAGCTCATGGATCGTGAGTTTGCAGAGGAAAAGGAAATACCGAGTGAGCATCAGTTATTTGGGGAGTCGATTTCCTCATCCGATAGTTCCGCCTCCTCGCAGAACTCCACTTGTCAGAGTCAACGAGATGAAGTCCAATGGCAATGCATCGCCACCGACAACCCTCTGAAATTGAGGATTAGGAAAGTGGTGAAGGCGCGTCGCCTAGACCGTAAGTGGCTCTTCCCTTTGATTCGTTTCCGTCTCTCCTCACAGACCTCACATAACTTCACATTTCGAGTCATTACGTAGTGGGAGACATCGTCGGTCATAAGTCGCAATGATTGAGCTCCTCTCTGCCAACCTCGATGCACTCCAAAATTTGCATTTTAGAAACAAAGTTTTGCCGCATAGGAAGGCAATAAATAAGCCCTTCAATTCAACCAAACCGACACCCACTGCTTCGACTCTAACGCACCGAGAGGAACCTGCGTCAGCTCCAACCGTTGGTGTCAGATGCACGTCATCAATCTCTTCCTCCACCCGTGACTTTGCATTGGCCTCGAAAAGCCAGTAATAACGCCTCAGCAGTGTCATTACCATGTATGTCGACAAAACAAGGAAACTGAGAAAACTATGGAAGGTAATTTACCCAATGCCCTGCTGCAAGACGTGGAAAGGCCAAACTCGCCAACCTCATGGGCTCATCCGAATCGCTATTTATATCGTCACGTCGATGAATAAGGGAG